AACCTGGGATTGAACTCAGGCCCTTGCACTTGCCAGGGAAGCATTTATTCCACTGAGCCATCTCCCCAGTCCCTTTCTTCATTTTTTTTGTTCTTTCTTTCTTTCTTTCTTTCTTTCTTTCTTTCTTTCTTTCTTTCTTTCTTTTGATCTCTAGCATTTGTTTTATTTTATTTTATTCTTTTGTATTTTAGCGAAGGGTCTATAGGGTGTTTAGGATCTCACTAATAGATCAGACTTATAGTGATCCACCTGTTTACAGCCTCCCAAAAGCTGGGATTACAATTGTGCTACTGCTCCCAGTCTCAATTGCCACTGTAGTGCACCCCAGCGAGGCAGGCCCAGGGATCAAACCCCAGGCCCCTGCGCCTGCTTGCAGGCACTTTAATCCGCTGAGCTATTTGGCTGGCCCATCTTTCTTGAGATTTCATAAGCAAATTTAATAGTTGAATGATGTCTCAGTCTGAGATGTGGTCACTTCCAAGGCTGTCACCATCACCAGGAAGAGCCATATATAATGAGACTGGTTGCCTACATGGTTGTGGTGATCACTAGATGTGTGGATCACTTCATACGGGCTTCAGATACCACTGGGAAAGACTGCAGAGAGTGTGAGTCGCTGTTCCCCAATTCACTTTCAAAGGCTTCAGCCACTGGTCACTTGGTCCATTGTTTCTTAGCCTGGGGTGAGGCAGCACATCATGGCCAAGAGGCTGTGTCGTGGGAAGGCTGCTCACTTTTTGGCAGCTAAAGCAAAGAAAAAGGAATAGCCTCTTTCTGGTTTTTAATTTAGATAATCTCAGTTGACTTAAATTTGCTAATTATGTTCTTCACTCTGCTCAGATTTTCTGCTTTGTCACTCTAGTGATTTTTTTTTAACTTCAATTACTATATTGTTAAACTTTAGAATTTTTATTTGATTATTTTAAAATAATTCCTATTTCTTTATTCGTATTTGGGGGAATAATTGTTCTTATATATTTGCTTAGGGTTTTCTTTTCTTTTTTTTAATGTATTTGGTACAAGTTCTCACTACAACTTAGACTCATAGTGATCTTCCTGTTTCAGCCTCACCAGCACAGGGATTACAGGCTTGAGCCACCACTCCCAGACTCATGGCTAACTCAGTGTGCCAGAGGCAGGGCTGGCAGGGCATGTGGTGTGGGGAATTGAACCCCTGTCCCTGTGCTTACCTAAGCAGTTACTTAGTCCACTGAGCTATCTCTCAGGCCCAGGGTTTTCTTTTTTGTGTTTTGCTTTGGTGGTATATTGGAGATTTGATCCATGGAGCACTGAGCTATGTTCATGCCCTTTTCATCTTATTTTATTCTGAGACAGAGTCCCACTAAATTGCCCAAGCTGGCCTCAAACTCAAGATCTCCCTACCTATTCCTCCTGAGTATCTGGAACATGGTGGGCATGTACACCATACATGAATGGCTCCTTCAGTTCTTAAGACATGGTTACTTTGTTTTTGAACTTATTTAAGGTAGTTGATGTAAATATTGTGCATCTACTAAGTCACTATTTACCTTTTTTTCTGTATGTGGATCATATTTCCTTGGTGGGTTTTATTTCTTCCATGTCTCATAATTTGTTACTGCTGTTGAAAACTGAATAATATAAGGTGGCAACTCTGGAATTCAGGTTCTTTCTTCACGCAAGGGTTAGGTTGGTTGTTTAGTGACTCTTCTAAACTATTTTTTTTTCTTGTTAATTAATTATATGTGGCCTTAATTGGAAAAAGTAAAAACTAAGACATTGAAAAATCATCTACAATTTCACAGTTCATTCATAAGTGTGGGAGAACCTACTTGTTTAATTTCATAAAGTAAAGCTCCAAATTCCAAATTGCTTAAGACTGTGAAAATGGAGAACTAGGCAAGGCTGCCCTTTAGTGGTCAAAGTGAAGAATGGCAAGGGGACGCCCAAACTGTTTAGTTTTCGAAATTAAATTGGAAAATGAAAACAAGCTCACAAGCCAAAGAATGTAAAAATTGGTACTTATAAATTTGTTAGTTATAACTTCTAATATTAATTTGTAGTAATTAAGGTAATTAAAACATGACAACATCAGTTTAATAACTAAAACTTTCCATCTGAATTCGAGTCTGCATGGATCTCTGATTTCTTTAGAATTCCTTAGAATTGGTATTTGTCCTTTTTTTTTTTTTTTAATTTTTTTTTAACATTTATTTATTGTGTGTGTGTGTGTGTGTGTGTGCGCACACGCGGCCAGCTCAGCCCACCAGGGGGCGGGGCTGGCTGGCATGTGGTGCTGGGGGATTGAACCGCGGTCCCTGTGTTTTGCCAAGCTTGTTCCAAGTAGGTGCTTTAGACCACTGAGCCATCTCTCCAGCCCCGGTATTTGTCCTTATTTTATGTCATGTTTTATTTACATGAAGACACCATTCACTGTGGCTGCTTGTGGCTTAGTACTTTAAAAAGACCTTTTCAATTGTTCCAATGTTGCCAGAATAAAACAAAATAAACATTCTTTAAGACCCTTTCTGTCCATCTGTCTGCCTGTCACTCTGTCTCTGTCTCTGTCTGTCTCTGTCTCTCTCTGTGCCTATCTCTGTCTATCTCTGTCTCTCTTTCTCTGTGTCTCTGTCTCTCTGTGTATGTCAGTCTCTGTCTCTCCGTCTCTCTGCATCTGTCTCTCATATTTTTGCTCATGCAATTTTTTTCCATAATTTTATTGAGAAACAAATAGCAATGAGAGTTTCAAACCAAATTGGTAGGACAGTTTCAATAATTAACACATTGCATACATTCTTCCTAGTGATTAATTGCTGTACAAGATGCGGACATGATATCCTATTTACAAACACTATTAGAACAAATCTCTCTATTCATTAAGAGAATGTAACTATATATCTATCCTAACCATTTTGAATACACAGATACAAAATGGACATTCATCTGTATTCCCCTCATCTTTCTTTTTTTTTTTTTTTTTTTTGGTGGAACTGAGGATTGAACTCAGATCCTTGTGCTTGCCAGGGAAGCGCTTATTCTACTGAGCCATCTCCCTGGCCCCTAAACTAATTTTGTAAAGTCTCTAATTTTTGTTATTTGTGACTAGTGAGGTCTCTGCTGGTTAGCTTAATGGTCAGCTAATAATTACTTAGAGATTTCTACACCACAGCCAATGAATTTCCCAGTCATTGCTCGGGGTCTTGCCCTGCTTTATCCTGCTTGTGTGCCTGCTGAAGCTGAGCCTGCCTAGTGATCTTTTCTTTTCTTTTTTTGGCAGAACCGGGGATTGAACTCAGGCCCTTGCACTTGCCAGGGAAGCGCTTATTCCACTGAGTCATCTCCCCGGCTCCTTCTTTTCTTTTTTTTTAAGAGCAAGCCATTCAGTGTTTCCCACTTGCCATTGTGCTTGTTTTTTTGTTTTTTGTTTTTTTTTTTCTTTCTTTCTTTTTGTTTTTGTTTTTAAAACTAAGATAGCAATACAGGTGCCCTGCATTGTACTTGAGTTGGTTTGCCATACTGATTCTTGGGGTTTTGATGCCCATCATGTGTCTACACTATGTGTCTGGTCAGGCATAATGGGCACAAAATGCTTAGAAATGGAAAAAAATAGTCACAGAAACACCTTGGACATGTATTAAACAAGATAGTGAATTTACTGAGAAGAGCCCCATGGATGTCATAGGAGCCCTTTGGCCATGTTTTCCCTGATAGTCCACTTGTGAGTTGGGTGATTATGTGCACTTGACTGGTTATAACTTGTGGAGGCTCACAGGGAGTCAGTGTTAGGATAAGAATCATGGGGCCGAGGCTTCCTGTCTTCTGGACATTCAGAGTCCCTGGGCATAAGTTTCTGGGCAGCATGACAGGTGCTTGGCTTTTCTGACTTGTCTTCCACATCTGCTGAAATGATTACTGAACAAAACAGAGCAGTGTTATCTCTTAAGAGTCAGAGAATCTCAGTTCTCCAGAATACATAAGCATTCCCTTTATTTTTATTATTCTGATTTTGAAGAACTCCTTTTCCATTTTTTTTCCTGAGTCTGTTTGAACATCTCCAGAGTTGAGGTGCTTGCCCCTTTTATTTACACAGGGTAAGCCATGTTGGATAGGTTTTTCTCTCCTCTCTTTTTATCTCAAAACCTCTTTCCAGTAAGTCTGTTTCCTGGTCTCTCTACTTTCCTGAGAGCCCTTCACTGCCTCCCCTTTGCCTAGGGATTAAGTTGACATTTTTTGGGTTTAGTTTTAGCTGAGACTAGTAAGTGAAGATGAAGTCCTGGTGCCTACATGCTGAGATATTTTCTTCTCCCTGGCTCCGAGTACCTCGTCCTTTCTTGGCCTCAAACATGTCCAAGGTCCCTAATTAAGGTTACATCATTTAGAGCTCTGCTTTTCATGCTTTGGAGGAGAAGACAGAACATCTTGTTCCAAATGCCATGGTTTGTTGTTGATAGTAGGGTGACTAGGCCAGGTATTACCTATCACTAGCCATGAGGGTCCTTCTCCTGTACCAAGGACCGAATGTCCAGGGCTTATGAGTGTTTTCTGATTCCTCTATAGGAACTAATTGACCTCAAGATGCTTCAGTGCAAGAGAGTTGTCAATGGTGAGTACAGTGTTTGTCCCAACCAGCCCAAGCAGCCCTACCATTGCTCCTGCCTGGCTGTATACTGACATTATATAAATTACATGCTGTCTGGAGGGCAGTCATTGCTGTCCACAAACAGCTAGATGCGAAGCAGGCTAAGAATGCCTCCTCTCTTTGGCTTGCTGATATAGAAATGTTGCTGTTTTATGGACTCTGGGATCTCTTGGAGGGAGGATCGCTACAGCATTGGCTCTGATTCACTCAGTAGATTGTATTTTAGTCATTTTTCTGCCACTAGGACAAAATACCAACCACCCACAACTTAAAGGACAGGTTTGGGGGCTGGTGAGATGGCTCAGTGGTCTAAAGCACCTACTTGGAACAACCTTAGCAAGGCACAGGGACCGCGGTTCAATCCCCCAGCACCACATGCCAGCCAGCCCCGCCCCCTAGTGGGCTAAGCTGGCCACACACACACCCCCACAAATAAATAAATAAATATTTTTTTTTTTAAAAGACAGGTTTATTTTGGATCACAGTTTCATTATTTCAGTATATGTTCAGCAGGTGCCAATGCAGAAATGTGTGGTGGAAGGACCTGGGTAAAGAACAGCTTCAGATCCTATGACAGTGAGGAAGCAGAGAGAGAAGGGAGGAACTAGGGAGGAAGATATGCTGTTCCAGGTCATGCCTGCAGGGACCCACCTCCAACCAGGCCTTGCCTTCTAACAAGTCTGCTGTGAACTCATCAGTGGACTCATCTACTGATGGGTGTAGAGCTGTAGACCCAATCACTTTTCAAAGTCTTGCTTCTGAATACATGAGTCTTTTGGAGGACATTCTGTTTTTTCATTTGATATTTTTAAAAAATTATTGTTATTAGTACATATTTGTAGTATATAATGATTACTTTCACCATGGGGAATTGATATATGTACATATGACATCTTTTTTTTTTTTTTTTTTTTTTATTTAGTGCAGGGTCTACAGAGTCTCACTACACAAATCGTACTTGAAGTATCCTCCAGCTTTCAGCCTTTCAAGTGCTGGAATTACAGGTGCGGGCTACCACGCCCAGTCTCAATCACTGTCTCAGTGCGCCCTGGGGGTGGGGATGGCATGGCACACCAGGGATCGAACCCCTGGTCCCTGCATCTGCCTAAGCAGCTGCTTTATTTTATTTTTTAAATTTTTTTGCAGAACCAGGGATTGAACAGGCCCTTCAGCAGCTGCTTTAATCTGATGAGCTATCTTAATTCTTTTTATATTGGGAAGCATTCTAGACCTAAACCTCAACACTGTGTGACTTTGAGCAAGTCATATAACTTCTGTACTTATGAGTAAAATGAAAATCATAAACCTTACTGTAATTCAGTCATAGAATTGGAGTGAAAGTAAATTAAAGTACCAGTAAGTACATTGTACAACATGAGCTCTATGCAAATGGAAGTTATTTTGTTAAATTGCGGTTTTGTTTATTCTTTAGTGGTTCAGCTTTGATTAGGGTTTTGGTGTCTTTGGTATGTGGCCGATCAAAAATTAACTGTGTGAAGGGCCAGGGAAATAGCTCAGTAGAATAAGTGCTGGCCTGGCAAGTACAGGATCCTGAGTGCAGTTTCTCGTATCGCAAAAACAAACAAGCAAATCAAAAGAGACAAAACAACAACAAAAAACCCTTCCTTTTGGGCTGGGGAGATAGCTCAATAGAATAAGCATTTTCCTGGCAAGTGCAGGGTCCTGAGTTCAATCCCTAGTACTGCAAAAAAAAAAAAAAAAAAAAAAAAAAAAAAAAAAAAAAAAAAAAAAAAAAAAAAAAAACAACAACAAAAAAATTGTTTAAATTAAAAAAATTATTAGAGTAAAAGATACATTGGCATTAATCACTCTCAAAATACTCCCTTGTCACTTCAAATACACTTATCTCTTATTAGATAAGGGAACTAAGTTCCCTGTGAAGTTAAATAACCTACCTATTTGCCCAGCCCTGTAACATTATCTTATGTGTGTTTTTCTCCAAGACATGATATTTATTTTGGGGTGGGGATTAGACCCAGGGCCAATCACAGATTCTCCCAAGCATGCTACTTAATATATACCATTAGTTTAAAAAAATAA